TCACAGATTATATGAGAAGAGTGTTTATTTCCAACTTTGTAATTCAAAAGAAATGTTTAACTCTGAGTTGAATCGAAACATCACAACATAGTTTCACAGATAGCTTATTTCTGGTTTTTATCTGGTAATATTGGGTTTTTAACCACAGGTTTCAAAGAGGTCCCAAATGTTCCTTGGAAGATTCTAGCAGAAGAGTGTTTCCAACCTGCCAAGTCAAAAGAAAGATTTAACTCTCTGAGATGAATCCACACATAACAAAGCAGTTTCACAGATAGCTTCTTTCTAGTTTCTATCTGGGATATTCACTTTTTCACCCTAGGTTTCAATGGTCTCCCTAATGTCCCTTGGCAGATCCTACAAGTAGAATGTTTTCAGCCTGCTGAATAAAAAGAAATGTTTAATACTGCGAATTGAACCCAAACATCACAAAGCAGTTTCACAGATATCTTCTTTCTACTTTTTATTTAGGGATATTTGGTTTTTCACCATAGGCCTCAAAAGTCTCCAAATTTCCTGTTGCAGATTCTACCAGAAAAGTGTTTCCAACATGTTGAATCAAAAAAAAAAAAAAAAAAAAAAAAAAAAAGGTTTAACTCTGTGAGATGAATTGACACATCACAAATCAGTTTCACTGGTGGCTTCTGTCTTTCTTTTATCTGAGGCTATTTGATTTTTCATCATAAGCCTCAGTGGGCTCCAAAATGTTTCCTGGCAGATTCCACCAGAAGAGTTTTTCCAATTTGCTGAATCAAAATAAAGGTTTAACTTTGTGAAATAAATCCGTACATCACAAAGCAGCTTCACAGATAGCTTTTTTCTAGTTTTTATCTAGGGATATTTGGTTTATCACCACATGCCTCAGTGGGTCTCCCAATGTCCATTCACAGATTCTACAAAAAGAGTGTTTCCAATCTACTTAATCAAAAGAAAGGTTTAGCTCTGTTTCATGAATCCATGCATTACAAAGTTGTTTTACAAGTAGCTTCTTTCTAGTTTTTATCTGGTGATATATATGTAGTTTTTTACCATAGGCCTCAACTTAACCCAAAATGTCTCTTTGTTGATTCTAAAAAAAGGGTGTTTCCAACCTGTTGAATCAAAAGAAAAGTTTAACTCTGTGAGTTGAATCCACACATGACAAAGCAGTTTCACAGATAGTGTCTTTCTAGTTTTTATATGGGGATATTCTGTTTTTCACCTTAGGTCTCGAAGTGCTCCCAAATGTTTACTTGCAGATTCTACAAGAGTGTTCTCATCGTGCTGAATCAAAAGAAAGGTTTAATTCTGTGAGATGAATCCACACCTCACAAAGCATTTTTACAGGTAGCTTCTTTTTTTCTTTTTTTCTTTTTTTATCTGGGAATATTTGCTTTTTTGCCATAAGCCTCAATGGACTTCCAAATGTCCCTTCACAGATTCTGCAAATAGAGTACTTCCAACCTGCTGAATAAAAAGAAAGCTTCAACTATATGTGATGAATCAACATATCACAGAGCAGTTTCACTGATAGCTTCTTTCTAGTTTATATATGTTAAATTCTGTTTTTCTTTTTTTAATTTAACTTTTTATCATAATTTAAGTTCTAGTTTACATGTGCACAGTACGTATGTTTTTTCACCATAGGCCTCAATAGGCTCTGAAATATCTTTTTGCAAATTCTACCATAAGAGTATTTTCAACTCTTTGAATGAAAAGAAATGTTTAACTCTGTGAGATGAATCTGCACATCACAAGGCAATGTCACAAACAGCTTCTTTCTACTTTTTATCTGGGGATATTCGGTTTTCACCATAGGGCTCACAGTGTTCCAAAATGTCCCTTCACAGATTCTACAAGAAGATTTTTTTGCCACCTGTTAAATGAAAAGAAAGGCTTAACTCTAAGAGTTGAAACCACCCATCACAAAGCAGTGTTACAGACAGCTTCTTTCTAGTTTTTATCTGGGGATATTTGATTTTTCAACCTAGGAATCAATATGGTCCCAAATGTCCCTTCCCAGATTCTATAAGAAGTGTTTTTTCAATTTGCTGAATCAAATAAAAAATTTAACACTGTGAGATGAATCCACACATCTCAAAGCAGTTTCACAGACAGGTTCTTTCTAGTTTTTATCTGGGGATATTCTGTTTTTCATCATACGACTCAATGGTCTTCCAAATGGACCTTCACAGACACAACAAGAAGAGTGTTTCCTGCTGAATCAAAACAAAGGTTTAACACTTTCATTTGAATTGTGGCATCACAAAGCAGTTTCACAGATAATTTCTTTCTAGTTTTTATCTGGGGATATTCGGTTTTTACCATAGGCTTCAGTGGGTTCCCAAATGTCCTTTTGCAGATTCTTCAAGAAGTTGTTTCCAACCTTCTAAATGAAAAGAAAGGTTGAACTCTGTGAGTTGAAACTACCCATCACAAAGCACTTTAACAGACAGCTTATTTCTAGTTTTTATCTGGGGATATTTCGTATTTCAAACTATGCATCAATGTGGTCCTAAATGTTTCTTCCTAGATTTTATAAGAAGTGCTTTTCCAATTTACTGAGTCAAATCAAAGGTTTTACTCTGTGAGATGAATACACACATCACAAACCAGTTTCATGGATATGTTGTTCGTAGTTTTTATCTGGAGATTTTCTGTTTTTCATCATAGGCCTCAATGGTCTTCCAAATGTCGCTTCACAGATAATACAAGAGTGTTTAAAACCTGCTGAATCAGAACAAAAATTTAACACTTTGAGTTGAATTCACACATCATGTTTCTTCCTAGTTTTTATGTGGGGATATTCAGTTTTTCACCATAGGCCTCACAAGGCTCTCAAATGTCCCTTAACAGATTCTACAAGAAAAGTGTTTCCAACCTGTTGAATAAAAAAAAAAAAAGCTTACCTTTGTGAGATGAATCCACACATTACAAAGCAATTTCACAGAAAGCTTCTTTGTACTTTTTAATCTAAGGGTGTTCTATTTCTCACCATAAACTTCAATGGGCTCCTAAATGTCCCTGTGCAGATTTTACAAGAAAAGTGTTTCCAACATGTTTAATCAAAATGAAGGTTTAACTCTGTTACATGCATCCACACATCACAAAACAGTTTCACAGATAGCTTCTTTCTAGTTTTTATGTGGGGATATTCATCTTCTCATTACAGACCTCAATGTGCTCCTAAATTTCTCTTTGCAGATTCTATGAATACAGTGTTTCTTACCTGCTGAATAAAAGTAAGGTTTAAATCTGTGAATTGAATCCACACACGACAAAGCCATTTCACAGATAGCTTCTTTCTACTTTTTATCTAAGTATATTCATTTTTTCACCATAAATCTCAAAAGGCTTTGAAATATTTCCTCACAGACTGTACCAGAAGAGTGTTTCCAACCTGCCAAATCAAAAGAAAGGTTTAATTCTGTGAGATAAATGCACACATCACAAAGCAGTTTCACAGATAGCATCTTTCTAGTTTGTATGAGGGGATATTTGGTTTTTCGTTATAAGCCTCAGTGGGCTTCCAAATATCTCTTCACAGATTGTACAAATACAGTTTCTAATCTGCTGAATAAAAACAAAACTTTAATTCTGTGAGTTGAATGCACACATCACAAACCAGTTTCACACATAGCTACTATCTCATTTTCATCTGAAGATATTCAGTTTTCCATTATAAGCCTCAGTGAGCTCTGAAATCTTACTTTGCATATTGTACCAGAAAAGTCTCTCCAACTTGCTGTAACAAAAGAAAGTTTTAACTCAGAGACAAATCCACACAACACAAAGCAGTTTCACAGATAGCTTCTTACTAGTTTTTCTATGGGAATGTTTTGTTTTTCACTGTAGACCTCAATGGACCCCCCAAAGAACCCTTCACATATTCTACAAAAAAAGGGGTTTTCAACCTGCTGAGAATAAAAAAGGTTTAAAACAGTGAGTTGAATCCACACATCACAAAACAGTTTCATAGAGAACTTTTCTCTATTTATCTAGTGATATTCGGTTATTCATCATAGGCCTCAAAGGGTTCCCAACCGTTCCTTTGCATATTCTACCAGAAGAGTGTTTCCAAACTGCTGCATCAAAAGAAAGTTTTAACTCTGTGAGATTAATCCACACATCACAAAGCAATTTCACAGATAGATCCTTGCTAGTTTTTCTCTGAGGATATTCTATTTTTCATTATAAGCCTTAGTGGACTCTTAAATGCCTCTTGGCAGATTCCACCAGAAGAGTGTTTCCAACCTGCTGGAAAAAAAAAAAAAAAAAAAAAAAGAACGATGTAACACTGTGACGTGAATCCACACATCACAAAGCAGTTTTACAATAGCTTATTTCTATCTTTATCTGGGGATATTTTGTTTTTCACCACACGTCTCAATGGGCTCCCAAATGTCTCTTCACCCTTTCTATGAGAAGAGTGTTTCCAACTGATGAATCAATAGAAAGATTTAATTCTGTAAGATGAATCCACACAATACAAAGATTCACAGATATCTTCTTTCTAATTTTTAACTGGGGATGTTTTGTTTTTCACCACAGGTGTCAATGTGCTCCCAAATGTCTTTTCACAGATTATACAAGAAGAGTGTTTCTAACCTGCTGAATCCAAACCAAGCTTTAAATCTGTGAGAAAAATACACACATTACAAAGCAGTTTCACAAATATCTTCTTTCGAGTTTTTGTCTGTAGATATTCTGTTTTTTAACATAAACAATGTGCTGCCAAATGTTTTCTCGCAGATTCTACAAGAAGAGTGTTTCCAACCTGCTGAATCAATATAAAGGTTTAACTCTGTGACATGAATCCACAGATCACAAAGCAGTTTAACAGATAGCTTCTTTCCAATTTTTTGTGAGTATAATTGTTTTTTCATTATAGGCCTCAGTAAGTTCCCAAATATCCCTTCACAGATTCTACAAATAGAGTGTTTCTAACCTTTTGAATAAAAAGAAAGTTTTAACTCTGTGAGTTGAATCCACACTTCACAAAGTAGTTTCACAAATAACTTCTTTCTAATTTTTATATTGGGATATTTGGTTTTTCATCGTAGGCCTCAAAGGGCTCAATGTTCCTTCACAAATTAAACCAGAAGAGTGTTTCCAATCTGCTGAATAAAAAGAAAAGTGTAACTCTGTGAGTTGAATCCACACATTACAAAGCAGTTTCACAGATAGCTTCTTACTAGTTTTTATCTGAGGATATTCACTTTTTCATTACAAGCCTCAATGGACTCCAAAATGTCTCTTGGTAGATTCTCTCAGAAGAGTATTTCCAACCTGCTGAATCAAAATGAGTGTTTTACTCTGAGATGCAAATTGACACGTCACAAATAAGTTTCAAAGATAGCTCCTTTCTAGTTTTTATCTGGGGATGTTCTATTTTTCACCATGGATCTCAATGGGATCCCAAATGCCTCTTTGCATATTGAATCAGAAGGGTTTTTCCAACTTGCTGAATCAAAACAATGGCTTACATATATGAGATGAACCCAGAAATCACAAAGCAGTTTCACAGATATCTTCTTTCTAGTTCGTATCTTGCAATATTCGGTTTTTAATTATAGGTGGCCTCCAAAATGTTTCTTGGCAGATTCTACAAAATGAGCGCTTCCAACCTGCTGAAACAACAGAAAGGTTTCACTCGGTGAGATGAATCCACACATCACAAAGCAGTTTCACAGATATCTTTCTTTTAGGTCTTATCTGGGAATATTCTGTTTTTTAACATAAACCTCAATGGGCTCCCAAAAGTCTGCTCACAGATTCTACAAGAAGAGTGTTTCCAACCTACTGAATTAAAAGAAAGATTTAACTCTGTGAGTTGAAACCAAACATCACAAAGTAGATTCACAGATAGCTTTTTTCTAGTTTTTATATAGGGATATTCAGTTTTTCACCATAGGCCTCAAAAAGCTCCCAAGGTCCCTTTGCCAATCATACTAGAAGAGTGTTTCCAACCTGCTGAATCAAGAACAAGGTTTATCTTTGTTAGAGGAATCCACACAATACAAAGCAATTTAACAATAGCTTCTTTCTAGTGTTTACCTGGGGATATTCTGGTTTTCACCGTAAGACTCAATCACTCCTGAATGTTCCTTTACAGATTTTCCAAAAAAAGTTTGCCCAAATTGCTAAATCAAAAAAAAAGTGTAACTCTGTGAGTTGAATCCTCACATCCCAAAGCAGTTTCACAGGTAGTTTCTGTCTATGTTTTATGAGGGGATATTCATTTTTTCACTGTGGGCCTCAATTTACTCCAAAATGCCTTTTCACCAATTCTACAAATAGAGTGTTTCCAACCTTCCGAAAGAAAAAAAGATGTTACTCTGTCAGGAATACACACATCAAAAAGCAGTTTCACATATAGCTTCTTTCTGGGTTTAATCTGGGGATATTTGTTTTTTCACCATAGCTCTCAATGGGCTCACAAATCTCCCTTCACAGATTCTACAAGAAGAGTGTTTCCAACCTGCAGAATCAAAACAAAGTTTACCTTTGTGAGATGAATCTACACATCACAAAACAATTTCACTGATAGCTTCTTTCTAGTTTTTACCTGGGGAAATTTTGTTTTTCACCATCAACATCAATGTGCTCCCAAATGCCCCTTTGGAGATTCTAAAAAAAGGAGTGTTTCCAACCTGCTGAATCAAAACAAAGCCATAAGTCGATTAGATGAATCCACACGTCGCAAAGCAGTTTCACAGACAGTTTCTTTCTACTTTTCATCACAGAATGTTCTGTTTTTCACCATGAACTTCAATGGGCTTTTAAATGTCTGCTCATAGATTACACAAGAATGGTGTTTTTAGCCTGGTAAATAAAAAAAAAAAAAAAAGGTTTAACTCTGAAGTAAATCCACACATCACAAAACAGTTTCACAGTTATCTTCTTTCTAATTTTTATGTGGGGATATATTTTTTTCATTATAGGCTTCATTGTGCTACAAAAGTTTCTTTCCAGATCCTACAGAGTGTTTCTTACCTGCTGAATAAAAGGAAAGGTTTAAATCTCTGAGTTAAATTCATACATCCCAAAGCATTTTCACAGATAGCTTCTTTCTAGTTTTTATTTAAGGATATTTGGTTTTTCACCATAGGCCTCAAAGCGTTCCCAAATATTTCCTCAAAGATTCTACAAAAAAGTGTTTCCAACCTGCTGAATCAAAAGAAAGGTTTAAAATTGTGAGTTGAATCTAAACATCATAAAGCATTTTGACAGCTAGCTTCTTTCTGGTATTTATCTAGGGATATTCATTTTTTCACCATAGGCCTCAAAGGGTTCCCAAATGTCCCTTCACAGATTCTACCAGAAGAGTGTTTCTAACCTGCTGAATCAAAAGAAAGTCTTAACTCTGTGAAATGAATCCACACATCACAAAGCAGTTTCACAGATAGATTCTTTCTAGTTTTTATCTGAGGATATTCAGTTTTTCATTATTAGCCTCAGTGGGCTCTGAAATGTCCCTTGGCAGATTCCACCAGAAGAGTGTTTCCAACCTACTGATTTAAAAGAAAGATGTAACTCTGTGACATGAATTCACACATCACAAAGCAGTTTCAGAGGTAGCTTCTTCACAGAATCCACACATTACAAAGCAGTTTCAAAGATATCTTCTTTCTAGTTTTCATCTGGGGATATTCTGATTTCCACATAAACCTCAATAGGCTCAAAAATGTCTGCTCTATAAGAAGAGTGTTTCCAACCTGCTGAGTGAAAACAAGCTTTAACTCTGTGAGATAAATCCACAGATCACAAACCATTTTCACAAAAATCTTCTTTCTGGTTTTTATCTGGGGATATTCTGTTTTTCACATAAGCCTCAATGGGCTCACAAATGTTTGCTTGCAGAATCTACAAGAAGAGGGTTTCCAACGTGTTGAGTCAAAACAAGCTTTAACTCTGTGAGATAAATCCACAGATCACAAAACAGTTTCACAAAGATATTCTTTCTAGTTTTTATCTTGGGATATTCTGTTTTACACATAAAGCTCAATGGTCTCCCAAATGTCTGCTCATAGATTCTAGAAGAGTGTTTCCAACCTGCTGAATCAAAAGACAGGTTTAACTCTGTGACTTGAATCCACACATCACAAAGCAATTTCAGAGATAGCTTCTTTCTAGTTTTTTTCTGGGTGTATTTTTTTTTCTATAAGTTTCAATGGGCTCATAAATATTCATTCACAAATTCTACAAGTCGAGCATTTCTAACATTCTGAGTAAAAGGAAATATTTCACTCTGTGACTTGAAGCTACACATCACAAATTGGTTTCACAGAGAGAGTTTTTATAGTTGTTATTTGAGGATGCTCTGTTTTTCATTATAATCCTCAATGTGCTCTGAAATGACCCTTGGCAGATTCTATGAAAAGAGTGTTTCCAGACTTCTGAATCAAAATAAGAGTTTAACTCTGAGACATTAGTCGATATATCACAAAACAGTTTCACAGATAGCTTGTTTCTAGTTTTTATCTGGAGATATTCTGTTTTTCATTACAGATTTCAATGGGCTCCCAAATGTTTCTTTACAGATGGTACCAGATTCTTCCAATCAAATGAATGAAAAGATAAGTTTAGCTCTGTGTTATAAATCCACACATCACAAAGGAGTTTCACAGACAGCTTCTTTTGAATTTTTAAAAGAAGATAGAGTTTTTCACTATAGGATTCACTGGGCTCAAAAATGTCCCTTTGCAGATTATATAAAAAGACTGTTTCTCAACTGGTGAATCAAAAGAAATGCTTAATTCTGTAAGATGAATGCACACATCATAAAGCAGTTTAACAGATAGCTTTTTTTCTAGTTTCTGTCATGGGATAATCTGCTCTTCACTATAGGCTTCACTGCCTGCCAAATGTCCCTTCGCAGATTCTACAAAAAGACTGTTACCAAGCTGCTGAATCAAAAGAAAGGTTAAACTCTATGAGATAAATGTACACATCACAAAGTGGTTTCACAGATAGCTTCTTTCTGGTTTTCATTTGAAGATATTTGTTTTTTCCTTATAGGCCTCCAAGGACTTACACATGTCTTTTTTGCAGATTCTACAAAAAGACTGTTTCCAACCCACTAAATCAAAAGAAAGGTTGAATTCTGTAAGATGAATGTCCACATCACAAAGCAGTTTCACAGGTAGCTTCTTTCTAATTTTTATCAGGGGATATTTTGTTTTTCACTATAGGCTTCACCATGCGCCCAAATGTCCCTTTGTAGATTTTACAAAAAGACTGATTTCAAACTACTGAATCAAAACAAAAAAAGGTTAAACTCTGTGAGATGTATGCACACATCACAAAATGGTTTCACATATAGCTTCTTTCTACTTTTTCTCAGTAAATACATGGTTTTTCACTGTACGCTTCACAGGGCTCCCAAATATCCCTTTGCAGATTTTACAAAAAGACTGTCTCCAACCTGCTGAATCAAAATAAAGGTTGAACTCTGTGAGATAAATGCGCACATTGAAAAGCAGTTTCACAGATAGTTTTTTTCTTGTTTTTATCAGGGGATATCCAGTTTTTCACTATGAGCTTCACTGGGCTCCAAAATGTCCCTTCGCAGTTTTACAAGAAGTGTGTTTCCAACCTGCTGAACCAAAATAATTGTTTAACTCTGTGAGATAAATCCAAAAATCTTAAAGCCATTTAAGGATAGCTTCTTTCTAGCTTTTATCAGAGGATATTCAGTTTTTCACTACAAACTTCACTGGTCTCACAAATGTCTCTTTGCAGTTTTACAAGAAGATTGTTTCCAAGCTGCTTGAATCAAAAGAATTGTTTGAATCTGTGAGATAAATCCAAAAATCTTAAAGTTGTTTACTGGTAGCTTCTTTCTAGTTTCTATCTGGGGATATTTGCTATTTGCTTACAGACCTTAAAGGGTTTTCAAAAGTCCCTTTGCAGATTCTACAAAATGACTGTTTCCAACTTGCTAATTTAAGAGAAAGGTTTAGCTCTGTTAGATGAATGAATACATCACAAAGCAGTTTCACAGAGAAATTCCTTGTAGTTTTTATCAAGGGATATTCAGTTTTTCACTATTGGCTTCAGTGGGCTCCAAAATGCCCCTTCACAGATTCTACAAGAAGACTGTTTACAACCTGCTGAATGAAAAGTTAGGTTTAACTTTGTGAGATAAATGCACACATCACAAAGCAGCTTCACGGATAGCTTCTTTCTAGATTTATCTGTAGATATTCTTTTTCTCCTTAAAAGGCCTCAGATGGCTCAAAAATATTCATTCACAGATTTTACAGAAAGAATGTCTCCAAACTTCTGCATCAAAAGAAAAGTTTAACTCTGTGAGATGAATACACACATCCCAAAGCGGTTTCACAGATAGTTTCTTTCTAATTTTTATCAGGAGATACTCCGTTTTTTAGTGTAGGATTCACTGGGCTCCCAAATGTCCTTTCGCAGATTATACAAAAAGACTGTTTCCAACCTGTGGAATCAAAAGATAGGTTTAACTTGGTGAGATAAATGCACACATGTGAAGTGACTTCATAGATATCTTCCTTTTATTTTTCAATCAGGGGATATTCAGTTTTTCACTATAGGCTTCACTGTGCTCCCCAATGTTTATTTGCAGATTCTACAAAAAGACTGTTTCCAACCAGCTGAATCAAAATAATTCTTTAACTCTGTAAGATGAATGCACACATCATAAAGCAGTTTAACTGATAGCTTCTCTCTAGTTTTTCATCTGTGTATATTCGCTTTTTACGAAGAGATCTTAAAAGGCTTTCATAGGTCCCTTTGCAGATTCTACAAAAAGACTGTTTCCAACCACTGAATCAAAAGAAAGGTTTAACTGTGAGATGAATGCACATATCACAAAGCAGTTTCACAGATAGCATTTTTCTAGTTTTTATTAGGGGATATTCCTTTTTTCACCATAGGCTTCAAAGGGCTTCCAAATATTTCTTTCACAAACTCCACAAAAAGACTGTTTCCAACCTGCTGAATAATAAGAAAGTTTTAACACGTTGAGAAAAATGCACTCATTGCAAAGCAGTTTCACAAATATCTTCTTTCTACCTTAAATGAAGGAATATTCAGTTTCTCAGTATAGGCTTCACAGGGCTCCCAAATGTCCCTTCGCAGATCCTTTAAAAAGACTGTTTCAGAATTCTTGTGATTTTTGCACATTGATTTTGTACCCTGAGACTTTACTGAAGTTGCTTATCAGCTTCAGGAGATTTTGGGCTGAGACGATGGGGTTTTCCAAATATATAATCATGTCATCCTCAAACAGGGACAATTTGACTTCTTTTCTTAATTGAATATCATTTATTTCCTTCTCTTGCCTGATTGCTCCCACCAGAACTTCCAACATTATGTTGAATAGGAGTGGTGAGA